TAAGTTTAAAGGTTTAAGGGTTTAAGCTTATGAAAATTAAAAGTTTAATAATTGAACAGAGTACATAATATTCTTATAATAACAGTAATGACATTTTGTTCAAATAATATGTATATTAAAACCTAAAAATATTCAATACCCTACCTATTGCGATTATCAAAAATTTTATGAATTTCAAAGTTGTTAAAAGGAACTGTATATAAAAAGTTTTCACTTTTGTAAATAATGAAATTTCAGTTTTAAAAACTTAACAGTTTTAAACATTTTAATAATAAATATTACCTATAGATAGTTATTATTTAATTTCAAAATTAAAGTTGGCAATTTTATTTTTGTATAATTCGAATAAAATAAAACAAGAATTAAACTACATACTACTAATAAATAGACAAAAGTATGTTCATATTGTGTTATGTACTATATTATAAGGTTGATATGTTTTTTAGAATTAAAATGTGCACCCAAGTTAATATGAAAGATTTTATCACTGTCCACCATGAAATGGCTCATGTACAATATTTTTTGAATTACAAAAAGCAACCAAAGGTGTATCGCGATGGTGCTAATCCAGGTATATTTATTAAATGTAAAATCATAGATAATAAAATGTATACTAAATTGTTTTTGGTTTTTAAAGGATTCCACGAAGCTCTAAGTGAGGCAATATCGCTCTCTGTGTCAACCCCCAAGCATTTGCAAACGTTGGGACTGATATTGAACTCTGTTGATGACATTCCACATAATATTAACTATTTGTTTGGATTGGCGATGGACAAGCTTACATTTTTGCCTTTCAGCTTGGCACTCGACTTATGGCGGTGGGATATATTCAAAGGGACCACGCACAAGGAGAGATACAATTGCCATTGGTGGGATTTACGGTAAATGACATATTTTAGGATGATATTGACTATGAACTAGTAGCAAATATATACGATAGACCTGATTAATTAATCATACTGTTGCTGATGTAGTGACTAGCTAGTGCTAGTCTTAAGTTAGTATAGTAAGTTAAGTATAGCCTTAAGTTATAGCATACGATGGTTGGTTAGGTTAGGTCCAACGATCAGGTTAATTTTTAATACGATTCAAGTATGATATGGTTAGTGGTCCTTAATTAAACTGTGGTTCGGCGGCTGTGGCCCCTGGCGGTCACGGACAATTATGACAGGAGTCCGTGCCCTGTCGATATTAAAATTTTGATTATTTTAATAATGTGAGATATTTTTTAAAAAGAAAACATTATTTGAAAGAATATTATTAAGCTGGCCCGCGATGTCTAATAGTTTTCTTTAGGGGCCCGTATTCTACAAAACCTTAGAACCGCTGATATAGGTAGTTAAAATTACGATGAAATTAATATTGCCGGATCTATTATGTAGATTAAACAAAATATAGGTAAATACCTAAGTTTATGTGAGTTTAGGTGATAATGACCACGAAAAAAAATGTCCATCAATGAATATTTCGTTTATAAATTATAATATACAATTTAAATTAGTGAAATTATTTTATACACACTATAATATCTATTTAAATGTTTAAATTAATCAATATTTTTGATGTATTTTCATGTTATTCTTGAATTCATTTTGTTAATAAGTAAATTATAATAATTAACGAAATGTCTAAGTAAATTCATCACCAGGCGTTGTGTATATGCAATTTACTTGCGTTTTAGCATTTACCGTTACCTATTTCCGAAATAACAGTTTTAAAAAGTCGAAAAATTAAATTATAATTATTAAATTTAATGAATTATATGAAACAACATTGCTAATTAACTATACTAAAAACATTAATTGCATGATTTTTTTTTAATGAGGTTGTGTAAATCTGAACATTTTTCTATGCAAATCGTGTGTAGGTTGAGAATAATTTGAGTGGAAATATCATAAATAGTTATATATTTAAATTGTAAATGTTTTACATATATATTCTATCCAATTAACGTATTTATAATACTTCATGACTTCATGTCTATAATAAGTTTTTAAATTCATTTTTAAAAATAGCTCACAACTAAATCAAACATGTTTTGTACACCATTAACGAATTAAAAATTAAAAATTATGTTGAATTGTGTATGCCGCGTCACCTGAAAGATATAACTTATTTTTATTTTTATTCGATAATATTACTTCAGCCATAGTTGATTTCAACATTTAAAATACAACCTGATATACAACAGTGTGCCTAATCTCACTTTACGGAGTAATGAGACACAACGTTTGCATTTCCGATTGTGCTGGTTTTCCTGCTCGTATTTCATTCTATCTAAAGTGTTACTTTATACATTTAATCTGAGTGTCTTATAATCAAAGTGGTTAAATAATCTGGTTAATAATAACGAAAATATTGCACCTATAGTTGTAATTGTATTTTTATAAAATTAAATTATGAAATTCGTATGTGCACCTTCTATGCGTAAATATGAATTTTCGTCTAACGTATACAATATTAATATAACTAAATAATAATTGACTACATTTAAAAAAAAAACACATGGGCACTTTGTATTATTAATTTTAGTGAATGCCATTAGGTATTAAAAAAGTAGCCAGATATACTAAATTTCCATTCACTAATTAATTGTTCTCTAGTCCATTTTCGTGTCTTAATATTTTTGCACTTTGACATTATTTTATTTCTGGAAATTGTGTCCGTGGTCAAGAATTATTAATGCGGACATTCATTTAGTCAGTAAGACTATAGCTTATGTTTTTAATGGTTAAGTGTTATATACATATTCAATACACTATTACAGTATTGCACTGTCCTTGATAGACACCTATTTTACAATTAAACTACTTTCGTTAGAACAAAATAAAATATGTCAATATTATTTTTATATAGGCATAAAAATAGTCTATTCTCATACTATTATTATTATTTTTATTAATATATAAAATAAATATCCATGACCTTGGTACCTAATATCGTTCATATTTGAATTTCAGATTCTAATAAGTCGGTTCATATTGATAATAGTATAATAATGTAAAATATTAAATATACTATACAATGGTTAATTGTAATAGTTTTTTTTTAAAATTAGTTCAAAATAAATAAATGTTTAAAACTAACAATATAATATGATTTTGACTTGACCAGAAGAGATTAATTTTTTGTAGATATCAACTTATCGCAACATATATATGTATCTAATATTAAAAATGTATAAATGGCTAAATTTAAAAATAATAACTATGATGTATGTAGATTGTAGGTATTAAAACTATTTTCAACTCTCAAAAGTATGACTTAATATAATATACCTAATACTTTAATTTAATTTATCGAATAAAAAAAAATTATAATAATATTTCCATTAATGAGAATTTCAAATTCATGATTCGCATGAAATATTTTTAACGAGTTAGTATAAATGTCAAGGTTATAATATAGGTAGTTGATAATTTATTCATTTTAAAATTTAACTAAATATATTATATGCAATTTAAATTTTATTCTCAAACGTTTATTTTAAATACTATTAACTACAATACTAATACAAGTTAGAAATTATTTTTTTAATTTAAAATGTTTGATATGAACAATGACTATAGTTTGTGTACATATTAAGTTAATATAATAATATGTTATGGTGATATAGTATTGACTATATCATATAATAATAATATAAAGGACACATTTAATATTTACTCATTACTTCTATATAATAATTATAATATAAACTGCAATACTAAACACACTACATATAGATTATTTAATAATCAGTTAAACTATATCATATAAAAATTGTATTAAATACTTAATGCTAATATTACCTGTAAGTAGGTAGATACTAGATACTCTAGAAGCTTAAAACATTTTACGGAGGCATGATAGTATAATCTGTGATGACTGATTGTCTATATTTAAATTACAATATAATTCGTGTTAAGGTGACATTTTGGTACCTAAGTAAACTACACATTTTAGTAGGATATGAATTATTATGATCTTAATTTTTTGTCTTGGCTAAGGACAAATAAATGGGTCAACATATATTATAATGTTGGTAATTGGTATGTGATCTGATATAAGACTATAAGGAGTTATTTAAAATTAGTAGGTACAATAATATTATAACGGCGATCAGGCAAATTATTAAAATATATTTTTCGGAGGTCTATAAAAGAAAAATCATATTTTTAAAATATATTTTAAGTACACAATATACTTAGGGTTAATATTGAACTTATCTTAGAACTAAATAATACATTACTAAAATATATTCAATAAACAAAAAAAAAAAATATTACATAATTTTATATAATTTACCTACAGGTATTTTAACAACAATCTATATTTTATATTCATTAGCGTTTTTATATTTTAGATCAAAAAAAAAATAATTATAGAAATTAACGGTGTAATTTTTTTTTTTAAATATTTAGCGAACGACTTGGTGGTGTCAAGCCTCCAGTACTTCGATCCGAAACAGATTTCGATCCGGGATCAAAATATCACGTGCCCGCCAACATTCCCTACATTGGGTAAGTACCCATGTGTATAATTTAAAACAGTGGTTACACTTACATGATTAGGTACCGGCATTTTATTATACCGTGGTTACGGTATTTCGTATTTTCATTGCGTAGTTTCACTAGCGTCAACAATGCCTGTCGCTCAATACGATAATTTCGTAATAATAATAATAATAATAATAATAATAATAATAATAATAACAATAATATAATAATATTATAGTGTGTTTGCGAATATCAAATACCTATTTAATAGAACTATACTGTAGTTCTGTCAACAGGCGTCTAATACGATTTTGTCGGTATGGTCTTCTATATATACCTACATGTACAACAGGTGGTCGTTATACATTCGTGATATTCTGGTGATCGGGGGGGGAAACCGCATACGGACAACGGACGGTTTCGGTTTCTTCTTCTATAATTCGGTATGTCGTCGCCGTCGTTGTCGTTGTCGTTTTATTGTTAAAATAAGCGTGTACACGCGACACCGGACGGGAAACGAAAGCGGAATTCATTTTAGTTTTCAAAAATGTTATAACAACCGAAATAATCAGTAATTGGTCTGGCATTTTTCGCGATCTACTACAACACTAGGCTGGTGCTGCAAATAGGAAAACACGGATACGCGGGATTGCGTGTGCGGATTGCAAAATAAATAATGGAGCTCATTTTAAACGCCGGAACAGACCGACTGACATCCACATATTTGTCGCGTTGCGCCTATCTATACCGACTTTTCAATTTATGGTTTTCCTCTCCATATTTGTATCTGTACGATACTGCAGGATTTGAAACTGTCAAATGGCTTGCGCCGAGTCGTTTCACACACCGAAAAAAATGTATTTCTATAGAGCAAACCTTTAAAAAATTCAAGGTCGTGTTGATAATATTATGCACCATTAAACGCATCGATATTATAGCTTTTAAGTACGCTCACGTATAGGATATCTACAAACACGAATAAAATATTATAATCATTCCATTATTATGCTAAAGACTATTTTAATAGTAAAATGTATAGTTGATATGACAATAATGTGTACATATATTATTTTTATTGGTATGCATAGTATGTTACTATTATTATTACAGTGTTATACAAGTCTAAAATATGCTTGATTGCGTTGAGCGCTATGAGCTCGTTAAAATGGCAGCAAATGTCACTTACTATGGTATATAAATTGGTGAACTGCACACGCATCATCCATGTGAAGACCCGTAGTCTTCATTACCACCGTAGGCATCTGGGGTCCCTTGTTCTTGGCCACTGCCGAACGAGGTAAAACCGTTGTCATAATTGTTTACGAATGCAGTACCGTATCCGGTAGTATCCGACGAGCTCTCTTGATTTAGTAGCCCACCTTGCCTGTATGAGTCATGATGTTGTTGTTGTGGTTGTTGTTGTTGTTGTTGTTGATGATGATTGTTTTTTGTCTGTTCGTTACCGTAACCGTGCTGCGATTGTGTGTGCACCGGTATGTGAACAGGGACTTTAACTTCCACTGGGTATGGAACGGGCACTTTGACTGGTACTTTGACCGGAACTTTGACAGCATACGGTACTGGCCTGTCAACGTGCACGGGATACGGTTTCGGTACGTGAACCGGATATGGTCTGTCCACCGGTATTTTGACTGGATATGGTACTTTCCTCTCCACTGGATATGGTATCGGTTTATCTACCGGTATGTGTATGGGCACGGGACGATCTATAGGTATTTTCACGGGGTATGGGACTGGGTGGTCTACAGCTATTGGTACTTTTTTCTCGATGTATACCGGATAAGGTCTCGGTATGTGCACCGCCACAGGCTTCTCCACGTGCACTTTTACCGGAAACGGTACGTGTTTCTCTACAGTTACAGGGTATGGTTGTGGTACATGTACTCTGACTGGGTAGGGCACTTGTTTCTCGATGTGTACTGGATATGGTCTGTGGACAGGATACGGCACAGGTTTTTCGTAAGGCACTCGGACAGGGTAGAGAACTTTTTTTTCCACGTGAACTGGATACGGAACTGGTACCTCTTTTGTCACATACACTGTCCTGACGTGTCCTCCATATCCGTAGCCATGACCGCCGCCTCCAAATCCACCTCCTCCAAATCCACCACCCCCGTGTCCACCACCTCCTCCTCCTCCGTGTCCACCACCTCCTCCTCCTCCTCCATGTCCGCCTCCTCCTCCGTGTCCACCACCTCCAAAACCACCTCCACCGTAACCACCAATGTTGCTCCTAAAGCCGTCGTTGTTGGTTGATTCGTGTGCATCAATATTTTCTCCGCCACTTCCGTATCCTTGGAATGCTTGCTGTGTACCACCGAAGTTATGTTGTTCATTGCCGCCGCCGCCGTTACCTGGAGTGAAAAAGTGCCCTCTGCCGGAAATGTCAGGTTTTCCGTCGTTGTTAAAGAAACTAGCCATCCAACCATGGTGGTTGGCATTTCTTCCTCCTATTGAACTATGATGATCTTCTGATCCTGCATTGGATCCCTGTGCATTGCCTCCGTTATCGGGGACACCCCTTTCGAAAAAGAAGTGGCTGAAACCGTTATTACCACTATTGTGGTTTTCATTGTTAGCCGATAGCTGTTCACTATCCCCCTCGTTTCCATCTCGACCATTGTTGTTACCAAATGGGTACCCTGAATAGTCAGAACTTTCCGGCGACGAATGTGAATTAGTTCCTCGGCCATAACCAAGTACATTATTTAAACCACGTTTTTCTGGTGGTTTTGATTCTGTAGACTCTTCTGCATTATCGATCTGTTTACTATTAGATGACTTTTTTCCGTGTTCAGCTAACGCATATGTCAATAATAGCGTTAAGAATAACCATTTTTGTTTCTGTAAATACAATTTTTTTTTGATTATTTTTATATCTATATGAATATTATTTTTAAATATTAAGTTTTTAATAACAATTTCTATTGAAAGGTTCTATTTTATAATATATTATTAATAAATCATGTACATAATAATTGTATGTAACATCAGTAAGAACGAAACTTAAAATTAGAAGTGTTAAGCAAAAAACTATTCTTGATTCCTTAAAGTTGGTTGGCATTTCAGATGTTTGTGGAATGAATAAAATATACATTAAATATAAAACTCACTGATGAAAAAGGGAATCTACTCCCCGTATGGTCGATCTCCCCTCATGTTGACCATATTATAATAGCGGAACTATTTTTTGAACAATAATAATATAATGTATAATAAATATATAATAAAAAAATCATGAAATATTATATTATTTTTGATAACACTTTTTCTGTCCGCATAATATTTATGAAGTGCTAAGGATAATAGAATAATAGTCCATGATTATAGTTTTAGAATTATGGGGATATTATAACTAGAAATTTAAATTGTTAATATTGACTAACTAAATTCTTCAATTTGCAAATATTTTACAAGTATAATTTATTATAGATACCATGCTGAGCTACTCAGAAAGAAATAATTCAAATTTTGATTAACCTATATTTAATATATCAACATTTCAATAAAAATCATCTGTTTAAAAAAAGATAAAAAATTGGATTTAATTTGAAAATAGTGAGCTCCTACAGGAGCCCGTTGTCTAATAAAACTTTCTTTCAAAAAATATAATTATTTGAAAATATCTATAAATTTTAATTTGTAAATGATATATTAAAATGTAAAAGGAGGTTTAATTCTTTAACAATGCTTATTGAATTCTGTTTTTAACAATTTTTAAAAATACTAAAATACCATATTTTAAACACTTACATATAACTATTAGTTATTACTATAAAGTTACGATTACTATACATAAATAATATATCCCTCATGTCAGTGTAATGGTTATTTTTCAAATACTCAATTTTTTTATAATTGTATAGGATTATCACACTGCAGCACCGTCTTTTAACAATTTTATATCATAGATTGTTCAACTGATGATTTTTAAAAATTTGTATGCAAATAAATCAAAATTTGAACTAATCATTTCTGAGTTATTACATTTAATCTTAAAGTTTGGAATAATTTATGGTACTTTCAAATTGGAATCAGCTTATATTTTAAGAGCCAAAACTTATAAACTTTAAGTACTTTTTAAAGTTATCAGGGAAAAAAATTAGGAAACAATGTTAACTTTTATGCAAAACTATAAGGTTTCGAAAAAATCAGTTTGGAGTTTTACTGTTATTAAAAAACTAATAATCTTAAAGAATATAATTATTCGCAATTGTTTATCTTAACATTTTTCAAAACATAATTTTTAAATTTATCTTAACATTTTTCAAAACATAATTTTTAAATTTTTCATGATATAAATTTCAAAATATTTTGACTATTTTTGAGCTATTATAAAATTGTTTGTATTTATATTTATTTATTTTGATGATATGTTTTCTTAAAAAAAATATAAGATATTTTTATAGTCCCAATTTTTTAGCATTTTAAGGTACCTATTTGAAAAATGTATGACTTATGTATATTATTTTGTAGTTTAAGATTCAAGCAATTTTCAATTTTTACACTTAATGCTTGAATATTAATTAATAGATTCCTGTTTTTTTCCCCAATTAAAAACAATTAGCGCTAAGCTACATACATTTTTATGAGTGTTAAACATTTAAATTTTGATGCCATTGTCTAGTGTTTTTTTGTGAATAAAAAAATATAATAGCAAAAATTTGAAAAATTAAACTATTACTTAAATTACATTGTTCTATACTCAATAATAGTTTTAATAATTTTAAGCAATGTATAGATATTTAGATATTTAGATATTCCTTATAATTAGTTTTTCTTGGTCAGAAAACTTCATAACTTAAAACAATATTTCTGATGAGTTGTAGGTATTATAGAAATAAAAAAAAAGAAATACCTACATATTAAAAATTTGGTTGTTTCTAATTTGACATATTTTGACAAAATCAAGGACATTCAACAATTATTTTGTAAGTAAAAATGTATTTAATTTAAAATTTTAAAGCTAAGATTTGAAAATTCATTAAAATGTGCATTGCAGTAATTTAAAATTGTGAACAGATTTCTGATAAGTAGACAACTTTTTTTTATAGATATTTCATCTTAAAATGCTGACAAAATAGTATATTTAATCCAAAAATAACGATTTTAGTTTTTAGCTGTAATAATTCAAAAAATATCATTCATAAGGATTCGGAACTTTTTACTACTACTAATATTATTATTAAATATTTAAAATAAAGTCTTAAAATTATTGGAATACATTTCAAGCTATTTATTACATGCACACCGTTCTACGTTATGTTTGTAAAAATTAAGTACAGCTAGTACCTACTTAATAACTAATATTATACGTCATAATTGAAGTATATAACATTATTACTTTATATAGGCGTGTACCTATGAAATAATAATTTTCAACTATCATTATTTTTTTTTTTTTTTAATTATGCATTTTTGTTTTAGAAAAATAATAATTCAAAACTAGTGGAACGTACATTTTTATGAAAGGTCGATTTTTGCGTATTGTCTGTAAATTATAATTTATACGTAATAATAATATTTTTTTAATATTTAAGTATTATAAACTGTCTAAGATTTTACATTTTTTTTCAAAGTTTGGTAAATTCATAAATTCGGCTATTTAAAAATGTGTATATATATATATATATTGATACCGATTGACTTTTAATCGTTGATTCTATTTAATCTTAAAAGCCTTCAATTTAAACATGTTTAAATTAATGTAAAATGTTAGTTGTTAGTTGTAGTTCTAGTCAAATTATTTTTAAAATTATGTATATAGTGAACACTGTATTAACGATATTTACCATGAATAAATCATAATATACCATTATTGGTTGTATCAAGTTACTAGTTTTTTGAAAGCATATCCAAGTTTTGTAATTTTTTTTTTTTTATTAAAATAAATTACTAAACTATTAATGTACTTACTTCCATTGAGCAATAAAATATTTCCGTTGGTATTACAATAAATAATAGTGTAACTGGTAAAATATTTTACCACAGTGTTTTTTCAAGTTTGATGGTAAAAAAACATTATCAAAGAAACATTTAGAGTTACCGCGAACTGAAACTGCCTCAATGAGATCGACTTTTTACGAACGTCTAATTATGTTTAATGCACATTCAGACTGTTATATTTCATACTGTTTTTCTTAATATATCAAAAAATATTGTTTACAATTTCCCCTCCATATTACGGTAGTAACTATCTAGTCTGCACATTGATGTGCTACAGTTTTTTGGTGGTATTTTCTAGTGATCGGAAGTCTATTTTCCTCTCTCTATGTACTATTTCTTTATTACGCGCTCTATCCGTTTTCTTTTTACGTAGCTATCGTCAGTAATGACGTCAGAGAAATATGAAATAAAAACACAGGATACTTAATGCTCATCATTTTTATTTATTTATAATATTACAAATGAATGTATTCCTAACTTATAAAACGTGTGGTAAAATTATTCATAATCATAGAAAGTATTTAAAAATATATATATATTATATATATATTTGAAAATATTTCTATTATTCAGTAGCTTTTTAAAAATGTGAAAGTGCACATTTTAGTTATAATTGAAACATAGAAATCTATTTCTTTACAACATTTGAGTCTTCAGTTTTTGACTCTACCTTTTCTTGGACCTTGGTGGATGCACCTCCAATGGCAACTGCTTCTTGTCCGGCGGATCCGAAGTTGGTTGACTTGAATAAAGATGATGCATCAGCTGAGCCAGCGGAGAAAGAGCTGAACGGAGCAGGTGTTGATGATCCGAAGAAAGATTGTTGGCCGAAGCTGAATGGAGCTGATGTGCTGCTGAAACCGTCTTGGGCGAAGTTTGAGCCGAAGAGTCCAGCTGGGCTGGCAGTCGAGCTGTATGAGGTTATTGGGCTAGATGTAGAGCTGTAGAATGCACTTCCGGCAGCTGGAGTAGAGCTATAGAATGCACTTCCGGCAGCTGGAGTAGAGCTGTAGAATGAACTTCCAGAGGCTGGAGCAAATCCAGAAGCACTGCCTGAAGCAAAACCTGCGTATGCAGATGCACTGTCAAAAGATGGAGCCAAACCAGAGGCACCGTATGAGAATTTGGAACCGGTCACAGCCAATTGTTCGGGTGTTTTCAAGTTTTGGTTGTTAAGAATCACGGCGTTTGAGGGAGTGTTGTAGTAGAAGTTGGGCACACCATCGTTAGATTGTGCAGCAAAAGCTTTGTAACCAGATTGGCCGCCAAAAGCTTGACTGGCTTCGTATCCTAAACCAGCGTTAGACTGTTGGTAGTAGTGGACTGTAGCGAAACGTTGAGCTGGGGCTGCAACCGGGACTGGAACCTTGACTTCAACTGGTACTTGGACTGGGTATGGAACCCTCTTTTCTACTGGGTATGGTACTGGTCTGTCCACAGACACTGGTACTCTGACTTCCACTGGAACTGGTACTTTGACTGGGACATCGTACCTGACTGGGTATGGGACCTTCTTTTCGACTGCGTATGGTACCAATTTTTCAACTGGGTATGGCACAGCCTTCTCTACTGGGTATGGCACTGGTTTTTCGACGGGGTATGGGTATGGTACTGCCTTTTCCACTGGGTACGGTCTGTCAACATTTACTCGCACTGGGTATGGCACGGGCTTCTCAACTGCGTATGGCACAGGTTTCTCGAATGGAACATGTACTGGGTATGGTCTGTCGACTGGAACTTTCACTTCATAGGGCACGGGCTTTTCAACTGGGTACGGTACTCTCTTTTCGATTTCTACTGGGTACGGTTGTGGAACGTGGACTGGACGGTCTACGTTGACTTTAACGGCGTATGGCACATGTTTCTCGACTGTAACTGGGTATGGGTGTGGGATTCGGACCAACACGGGGTATGGCACTCTCTTTTCGACTTGGACGTAGTATGGCACTGGTACTTCCTTGGTGATTGTGACCTCGTGGTGAGGTGCGGGTGCGTTAGCTTGTACGGCTGCTACTTCGACGGCGTCGTGGCTGATCGATTCAGACTTGGTGATTGCACCTTGTGCGAAAGACGGGGCGTAGGCTCCAGAGTAGTAGGAACCATATGACGTAGCGAAAGCTGGTGATCTGTTCAAGACGACAGGTTCTGGTGTGGATGACACAACTGGTGAAGCTCCGCCCAATAAAACTGATGGGGTGGAAGAATACGCAAAGCTTGCATCAGATAGTGCGGCACCAGAGACAGCAGCGCCAGACAAGAAAGGTGCTGGGGTGGATGATCCAATTAGAGCAGCTGGGGTGGAAGAACCGAATGATCCATCGTAGAATGGAGCAGGTGTGGAAGATCCAATGAACGATGCTCCATCGAAAGATTGAGCTGCGGCTGCGTTGGCGTAGGCATTTGATGCAAAAGAGTTACCGAATGCGAACGGAGCTGGTGTAGAGCTGTAAGAAATGGATTTGAACGGTGCAGCGGTCGTTGAGAACGAGCTGTCAAATGCGAATGGAGCTGGGGTTGATGGGCCAAAGCTCTTGGCTCCGAATGAGAATGCAGATGGGTTAGCGAAAGGGAAATTTGCCTTTTCAGAAGCAGATGCGAATGCGCTTTTCACGGTAACTGAGTCTGTTTTCTCATTGCTAGTGAGTTTGTCAAGTTTGTCAGCGAATGCTGTGGACACAACTAGGAGTCCTAGGAAAGCTGCTTGAATCTGGAAAAATATTATTTTTTTTATAGTTTTGTTCCATTATTTTTTTTATAGTTTTGTTCCATTATTTTTTTTATAGTTTAAATCAAATGATTGATTTACGTTATTTAATACAATAGTTGAAAAACGTCTTAGAATTTTACACAAATTTGATTTAAACTTAAATCAGATCATAGTATATTGACAATAATTAGTTTATAATAAGTGTATTTTTAGTCATTCAATGTTACGATAGTTGCATAACAAATTTATTTTTACCCTGGGAGTTATATTACGGTAGAATATTTTAGAGAAGAATTTTAACAATTTTTTTCAGTTTTTTTAAATTTTATAATAAAACAATTTATTTTCAAATAATGATAAATAAGTATGAAATAATAATATTATAATTGTATTTAAAACTAATTATTTTTCAATTTTTTTGAGTATGGAACAAAAGTATGAAAACAGTATGTGTTTATTCAGTATGGAATATTAGGACCCAATTGTTTAAAAAAAACTTATACTCAATTGATAAATTTTAATTTTTCATTTAAACATATTATGATAATTATGAAAACTAAAAAAAAATCAAAATTTTGAAAGTTGAATTAATAACTACTCAATAAACTTAATGTGTAAATATTGCGTCATTTTAGAATTATTTATATAAATAAACAGTTATTTTTTATCAGGTAGCTTATTATAAATTAATTTAGTAATAGGGCATAATTTTTAGATAATTTCACTTCTTTTTAAATAATTTTACTTTGATTTTTACATTTATGATCTATTTATAATTTAAGCCAATTAAATATATAGTACATAAATTTAATATTATTTATCCTATATATCAAAATTAAATAATACAAATTTAGTGTATTTAATAACAAAAGCAATTATAATTAAATTAATGTGTTTAATGATATAAAAATATATTTAGAAAACGTATTTGATACAAAAATAAATTGGTAACATATACACATATAATTGTTTTATCGAAGGAACGATTAATAATATCTAATATCGTGTCACTTATGATGTATAAACATTTGTATTTAATAAAACAAGAAAAACAATATTTGTCTAAATACTTTTTCAAATATCACATGTCAATGTAGGTTATATTGATGAAACAAAAACGATTTTTTGTCATAATATATATATTATTTAACACTATTTAGATCTAAGAATGATAAATTCTTATTAAATAATTAAAATCATTCATTAAATTTTAACATTTAAGATACATTTAGTATCTTTTTATGTATGTTTATAATAAAGTAAATTATTATATAAAGTAGTATTTAAAATATTATGCTAACAAGCTCATATCATATAACCAACGATTTTTGTTTACATATAAATAATAAAAATATATTTTTATATTTTAAAATAAATACCCAAGCAAATAAACTTATTTTTTATAAATGTAATAATATTCAAATTTAAAACTTGGCTTTTGGTTGATGTCGAAGTTTGAGAATTAAGAATATTTGTTGAATTTGTATTCATGATTTTTTTTTCAATCATCGAAAATAATTTATATAAATATAATATAAAAATAGATAGTTGCATTTTGTTTTTTTAAGAAAAATAGTATTATTTAGTTAAAAAATATTTTTATTAGAATAGAAGTGTAGATACTAATAATAGAATTATAAAAATAATAGTATGTTCAATCTCACCAGAGCACGTGGAGCCATGCTTGTTGTTGGTTCTCTTCAATCCAGCGACTGATTGACTGGATACCTTGTTGAACACCAGCCTTTACTATATATATCTGCGCTTCTTCTTGGACTGTATCCAGCAAAAGTACTGTCGAAAACCAGTAATCCGGGATGGGAGAATTTTTTTCGAACTCTAACGCAGCAAGCTCCTCCCACTAATAAATTGTCGATCTTCGTTCAACTGCTGTTTTATCAGTGTTTTTTATTATGATTTTTTTTTATATATATAAATCTATTTTTTTTGCGTTTTTTCGCTCATCTCGTACAGTAAACCGGTTGTGTACGCTAAGTCAAGGGTGCACAGCTATGGACTCTGAAGGATCGGTGGCCTCGTCGACCTTCGAACACTACAACCATATCCCCTTTCACACACCGGGTACCTTGCAGCGTATTCTCGTCAAATCCACAATTTCAATCTTTTTGCATTTGCTCCCTCGTTATTGAAACAATATTGCAGAATACGTACTAACGTACCACAGGAACGTTATATGAAATAATTCACAACAGGTCGTCTCCTATACGTTTCTTGTACGTTCAATTATTACATTTTATCTATTATGACATTTTTCAAAATTGAGTGTGTACATATATTCTGTGAGTGTTATCATTTTCCGTCTAAAATATATGGGTACTACTATTGTACATATATACCTACTTTAAAATAATGTAGTGCGATTCTGAAATATTAAAAAAAATTATTATCTGATATCATAATATTCAGTAAATACTTAGGATTCATTTTGTTTTAATATATAAGCAATATAAATTTAAAAAAGAATTATAGTATTTCAAATACAAACACTCTAATAATTTAATAGATGAGAGGTTATAATGTATTTTTATATTTCTACTCATATTAAACTAATATTTGATGTACATATCGTTACTAAATTATTAGGTTAATCGCATCTAATAGTATTTATTATTGCATTCATTTAACCAACATATTTTTCTCAATAGCTTAGATTTGTGATTAAAACAATAGTTTTTCAATGGTATGGGTATAATGGTATTATTTAATAAGTGTGAAAATTGAAAAGCAATAGGTACTTAACATTTTCATAATTAAAATTATTTTATTGAATATTGACTTGATTTTACATAAAATAGTACGAGTATATTCATGATTTTCATTTTCATAATTCGATTGAATATTTATAAAATATATGGTTTAAACTTTAAACTATTTACAGTCAAAATGTTAATACATTTTAGAGCGAATTTGGTCAAGGCAAAAGTTCATATTACATATTTAGTTTAATAAGTTGTTATTTTATTCTGGACCTACGTTGATATGGTATGAATAAATATAAGAGTATAAGAAAATATTATAAAAACCGGTCGAATTGTGTAGGTGTACCAAATAAATAGTATACATTATAGTTTATGGTTTCATACGCCTTCGTGATTATGAAGTTTCAAGTATATTGCCAAATTCTAATAATCGAATAAACAGCATAACAATAATGCTTAGCATTAAACAAAAAATAATCATGTGTTGTTAGGTTAGTTTTTTATAATAACACAGTACACAAAATGAAGAATAGAGCCATAAAAATTACAATTTCACTTGTATATTTGAAGCTGATGGTTTTTTTTTTAAAAATAATGGTATAAAAGAAAACCAATTAAAATTTTAATTTGATGCCCGTATGAATTGTGTACACGTATATGATATTATGAGAAACATATGCATAAATATGACAAAAACATTTTAAAATATAATAAAATCTGAGGAGTAATAAATAATAATGCTTTGAAAATAGAGAAGCTGGTGAAATATTTTTTTCAAAAAAATACTTTATGCTGTTAAGTAATTAAAAGTAAAAAACAGTATATAATTATTACAGTTGCAGTTCAGATTTTCTTGATTTTATTTCTTAAGCAGTAAATTGGGAAAACGATTATCTCTATAATTGTCTTAAAACACGTGTATTCAATATTTACTTTTTATTAAATTGATCATATGCTAGTTCAAACACTCTACAATTATCGTGATTTTAAATTATATCAATAAAATGGTTTTTAAGATTTTTAGTTGAAAACATAGTATTATTAATAAAGTCCTAGAGATGTTATGTAAATGTATAATATGTATAATACTCATAATACATAATATTTTATATAAGAAACCCATATGCCTGTGATGGAGTGTGTGAATGCGCCCATTGTAATCACTTACACAAGTATATCTATTTAAATAGGTTCGAAAATAATTATATTGAAAGGTCGACTAATAGCTGTATATTTTTTAATATGTATATCAATTATCGATGTTTAAAAATATGCTTTTTAAAACATAATGTAAAAAACGATTATAAAGTGAAATGTTAGAACACTTAATGAATTATTTATAATAAATTAACTCTGTACTATTGCCGTTACATTTTCAATGAAAACTTTTCATTTCTTCTATCTCAATTATTTAACTTTTAAGAGCCTTCGTTATTTTTTTCTTTAAAAAAAATATGATCTTAACTTTTTAATATTGTTTGCTGAAAAATAGCTTGAGAGGGGCTATTAGGACCTATAGCCATAAGCGAATTTACACTAAAGGCCTATACAGTTTTGTACCTTATACTTACAAGGCCCCTTCATAGATTTTTAAAATATTTATAATTACATATTTGATCAAATGTAATCTGTCTTATAACTCTCGTGTAATATACAAACTATAATTATACGTTATAAAACATTTAACTAATGAACAAAAAAAAAAAAAATGAATACAATCTATAATACAATTATTACTTACATTATAATTTTTAAACATATAATTAGTTATATTTTTTGTTTTTATTACTTAATATTGAGCAGTTTATTTAATATGATTGACATGATCCATAATATTTGATATAAAGGAGTCAATATAATATAATAAATGCAATTGAAAGAACAGAAGCATTATGTTTAAAACAAATAATATTTTTTCAATTTCAAAAATTTTGAATGATATTCATATTCAATTTCAAAAATTTTGATTGATATTCATATTCAATTTAAATTTTTATTAATTTTCGGTCCGAGTTTTTCTTTTGTTCACGGAGAATTGTTGGCTTTGCCTCTTCTTAGGCCAAGCACCAACTTAATTTGTATTACACTTACCCAAGCACTATGTAGGTAATAAGTAATAATACATGGTCACAGAAATTATTATCATAACATGGTAGGTAATTACCTACCACAGATTTTTGTAATTTTTGATTGGCTATATAAATAAAATACACGTGTGTCACAGATAAGTGTTTTATGTACTCGTATTAAAATTTTGAAAGTATAATTTTTAAACCTATTATCTATTGTTCATTTTATAATTTTGTATTAAATTTTAAAATAATATTTTATTAATTTCATAACAAATACCCATTGATCATATATTTCCCAATTTTAATGCAACCATGTTCAACAAATCCAGTCTTTATATTTTACTTAATCAGTTGTTTTGTAATATATTTATTCCACTTTTATTTTTTTGGTTAAATACCTAAGAGATTTTCTTAAATAAACTATTCAAAAATTTGTTAAATTTATTTTCATTACCATAAAAATGTTTTATGACGCATGCATTGTATACCTGACATTAATAACAATATTATACAGCTAATGGCCTCAGTTGCCGAAGCTTAAGATCAATAAAAAAAAAAAAAAAACAATATTATACTATTTTAAATATAATATTATTGATAAATGTCTAATAATTATCTGAATTCAAGTTAAACATTTTTTTTTTTAGTATAGTTTATTGTTATGGGTTTTGGTAGAACTAAGTTGTGAGCGAAACCGTTTGCAATTTTTTATACTAGGTAAACATTTGTACGATTTCTTTGTTACCCTATTCTAATATCTATGCATCTATTTCTTTTTATTCTTTTTTTCTACTTTTGGACGGCGAGTTGTAGCAAGACAAAACCGATTTTCGCTCTTCAAAACCGGTTTCTTCCTGCTGTGCAAAATTCTCTTTTGTTTGGCGGACGTTTTGAATTTTTATTATAAGAAAATAATTTAATATACGAAAACACATCTATATATTTTCGAATACTATAACTATTTTAACGTTTGTCATATTACCTGTATAACTAATCGTGATGGATGTTTTGAGAGACAACTTGATGTTTATCAGTAGATACTCAATTCTACAATTTTCCATACGGTTTTATATCAAAGACTACTATTATAAATCGTTTTCTCGCAACTCTGATCACAAGTACTTAAACAATTTTTTTCATTACTTGACTCTTGACAGTATGGTGTATTTTTTTACACTTGGCCATAATTATGGCATGTTATAGGTAGGTATTATATTATTATTGTACTACTATAGTATAGTATGTAGTGTTGCACAAGTTATGTCCTTACATTAGGATTTGTCATTATTTTACTCGCAGGTAATCAATCATAAAATAAAATATCTCAATTGATAATTAAAAATCAATCAGAATAGGAGTAAAATGAGTACTCGTAGAGTATAATATTGTTCATCAATAGGTTGATACGTTGAAAATCGCTGTGTGGCAATCCTCCAAGAGTTTTCATCAAACACATTATAAGTGTTCGTGAACATTCTGTATCGGTGCCTACTTATATACGATTCTTTTTCAGACAAAATACAACTTTTCAATGCAACACAAGTAAAAAAGAAATTAATAAAACCATGTGTTGTTATTTTGTCGGACGGTGCAACATCATAAGCATCGGGGTGTTGTGAATGGGCTTATGAAATCAATTTGTTTGCTTCTTTAATTTTGCGCCGTTAAATAAAAATTGCCCAAACTGTACGTTATCGAGTTACGTGTAATATTATTACAGATGAACGACTTACAATGCAATGTGGTTTTATAGAAATACGATACATAACACTATATTGTAACAGCGCATATAAAACACAATACAATGTGTAACATATACAACATTACAATTTTAACGCACGTACAGGTACGCTTTGATTCGGGTTTATTCATTATTGTTATTGAGCACACATATATCATTAGGTAGGTAATGACTGATAGGTGTGCATTGAATTATACTAGTAGTATACTAAGTATATAATTTCACGTTATCAGTTTATTATTATTTCGTTCATAATTGTAAG